ATGCAAAACGAGAGGAGCTCCTTCCAAGTTATACATTTGGCTTCAAAAGAATGCTCCTAATTTCATTATTGAGCTATATAGGATCTGAGCCGGTGCCAAGTGACTCAACCACTTACTCATAACGATGAGGAACGTCTCTTTGGATCAATGCTATTCTATCATTCATCTTGCTTTCAATCTCTGATATGCATCTTTTGGTTCACGGTAGAAATTTTAATTCCGAGCTAATGGCCTCCTCCAGTATCTGCATGTAAAAAATAACCGCCAGACTGCTTGGTGTCCTACTTCCTCACATGTTGAGCTGTTTACACAATGTTGGGCTGTGAGTGATATTTGTAAATTTGAGCCTGACAGTTCCACATTAAGATCTACGTCTTATAGTTCAGGTTATGAATGGTGATTTGAATTTAGCATATACATTCCTATAATAATGTCTGAATTAAATTCAACTCAATTGAACGTGAGACGGTGGAGTGTTTATTCTACTCTTCTGTGTTATCTAATGAGATGCTGCAGATTAATAGTGCTAGGTCGTAACTGTTTAACCGCACTACACAATACAAAGCCATCCAGGGTACAACTGCCAAACAAAATGTAGATCTAAATCATCTCTGTACGTACTTGGCTCTTTAATTACAGTGATAATTTGAAAGTAAGAGGTACTCCACACAGGTACTAAATAGCCTATAATCATGACTGTATGTTAAATGGGCTATGGCTAAATCTGAAATAGAGACACAGTTTATTAACAGTTCTCAAGACAAAAATAATAAAACTCCCAATGTAACTCATCCATTTGTCATGGAGACAATCTCTATGTAGCATATTGTATGTAGTTTCATCACCAGGTTGATTTCCATGGGATGGATGAAACTACAGTGCTCTTGTCCATGGTAAACATGTAACCCAGTGCAAACAGTGTGGCTCAATGAGATATTATTGATAGTTTTTTTTTTCATAGGAGCTCTACAGGAATAAGTTATATCTTATTTTGGTTAACTTTGGTCAGTATAGGCTCAATTCATCTGAAATTTCACCAGCCTTATTCTTTAAATGATTTGGCCAATCATGGATCTAGATCTTTGTCATGATACACAATATATCATAATATATTTGCATCACTGATATATCATGCAATTATATATTTGATGGACATTCAGTCAAGAAACTGCTAATCCTGCTATTGACAGGGCAGCTGCGGCTCAGCAGGTAGAGCGAGGCAGGTAACTGCAGGGCTGGCGTTTCGATCTGCTCTCACCCTGTGCTCCTCATCTCCACAGGTATCCTTGCTTAAGTGCCCCAAAATGCTCCCTTTGGTTTGCCTCCATGGATTGGCTCACACCCTTGCTGATGATCACAACCAACATCATGTGGCTACACACAGTCCCACTACTGATTCTCTCTCTCCTGGATCTGTTATTCCTGGCTACCTGGGGCCCATCGGGGGCTTTCCAAATTGTCTAAGTGCCCTTCTCAGCAACTTCCACCTTTTTCCCAAAGCAGTTCCCCACCTCCACAAAATAATCACATGCTAGCCCTCTGCTTGCTCCCTCACAAATGAACCCTCTGCTGGATTCTCTGCCAGCAGAAACAACAATGTGCATCAATCTTGGATTGAGGCTTTAGGAGATTGTATTGTGACCTCTGGATGTGAGATGCCCGGGAATATCTTGTAGGGCTGAAGGGTGTTGAAAGAACAGGAGAGATCAATGAACATGAGTCCCCCCCCAAGCTTTCAGGGTCATGATGAGCAGCAACACTGCCATCGGTAGGGGATGGGGGGCAGGTACACAGGCTGATATGGCTGAGATACAGGAAATGGGTGGTGGTAATGGAATCTGACAATCCTGGTAGGTGAGCATGGCAAACTACCAGGCAAAGGGAGTGGTGTGAGGGGGTGGGGGCTCCCTGTCCATGTTAAAAAAAAAAACAGGACTTGTTTGCTTCATCTTTACCTGTTCACTGTCCTATTCCACACTGCCCTCACTTTCATTTATGAAGGTCATGTCTGGCATCATTCCCCTATGATGTGATTCCACTGTAACAGCAGCAGTTCAAGGTGTAGGCTAATTGAGCTAAATGGAGAGTGTGACGGTTGTTGAGCCCCATGAGGGCCCTTTATTCTGGGCCACATCTCCAAGGTGTGCAGGGAGGGGCAGCAGCCATCCGCTCTCATTTCCAGTGAGCCAACAATGTTGTCATCCTCCAGTATGGTCAGTGTAATGACATATTCATCAGTGTTTATTTAGCTTTACAGATGCTTTGTGTGGAACATAATTAATACAGCTCCCTAAACGTCGTGTTCGCATATTCTGATGGCAGCAAATAAATGGTGATGTTGTTGCCGTAAACAATAGATGATTTATTAAGCCGATGATCCTATTTATGTTTCCATTTAGACCAGTTGTGCTTCATCGAGAGCCCCACAGTGTGAAATAATGGCATATTTCATTATTTCCCATGGTGGAAATAATGAAATATGCCAATAGAAAGCTAATCCCTCTCAAATAGAAGCTCCACCAGAAATTAAGTATTCTGTCCCTGCTGTGTGCTTTCTGCTTCTAAAAGGGCGGGATCAGCATATTTTGACAGCCGAACACTTTACATCATGACTGGGTGAAGGAGCTGCTCAGAAGTCAAGGGGGAACAAGTGTGAGCTGTACTTCGGAAAACACAGCTCATCAAAAAACACCAGACACGCCATGTCTTCTCACGATCAGTCAGGACACAGTGTTTTGCTTGTACAAACATTAACATTAAAAAGGAAAGTTAAGTTGAGAAGTTGGTCAAAAGTTCCATCATCTATAAAGCATGTCTTCTTCTAGCAGGATGAAATGGGGAGAAAGCGAGGAGGATGGTGTGAGAGTCACAATCATTTGACATCTCATGGAAAACAACATCGTGGACTTCCCACTTGTTGATATTTATTATTTAGTCGCAGACGAGACGAGGACAAGACCTGAGACTGACGAAAAATTTCATCTGTCCCCCGGGTGCTGCCACTTTAACTTGTTAGACGTTGAAAGGCTTGCTTTGCCTTTGCTGTCAGATCCCAGAAATGAGCAGGTGGTGATGTGTCTTTGTGTGCCGTCGCCTCTAATTCAGCAGCAATAGAATCCCTTCAAGTAAGGAGCATCAAACGCATCTCCGTCAGCTCATACTACCAGGTTAGATGATGCACACAGCAGACTTCTCAGTGATGCAGCCGCACAAAAGACACCACGGGGATGCGCGCTCGCACACACACACACACACACACTTATTTACAAAGGAGATAATACACATTAATCGCTCATTCTTACTCCTCCATTCTCTTGCTTATACACACACGATCTGTTTACTGACTCTGGTGATGTCTCGACTTCATTCATGCCAATATAACAATTGATTTTTTTTTTTTAAACCACCCAGTGTACAAGAAATACAGAGAAATACTTCAACCAAGTCTAGAGTGAGGCAGAGGCTGAGTGAATGACTAATCCAATATGCAGAATTAATCAGTTTTACCAGAACACATGGAAGACTTCTGAGTGAACCTGTCATGGAAACAAAGAACACTAATCTACCCCAAAAGTGACCAGAAAAATAGAAACACTTTTACAACACAACAAAACAGACCTGCAGGAAATTCTACCTTGCTCCATCCTTTACAACACCACCACAAACTCCAGCCTCAGAGGTGACCAGCAGAATAAATGTTTCTCTGCCACTGTGTCAACAACATAGAAAAACCAGTGATGGACTCATATTATAGCTGAAATGAACAACCACAACCAGAAAGTGAGAATGAGGGAGGAAAGAGTCTGTGTGACAGAATTGTGCAAATGCACTTAAACTGCTTGAAAGCTGCTTTATTTTAAAACTAAACACTCCCAACCTTCAGCTTTAATAAATGCATTCTGAAGGAGTAAAAATGGCTGTTTCATTTTCCTCTTACAGCAGTATGCTACTTCAGCTGGCTTTAGTGATGCAGGGGTAGGCTAGCAGAAAATTGTATGTTTTTTTGGACTCTGTTTTGAATACTCAACTAATGAGAAACAAGCTAGATTAGGCAGAGTTGACGCTTGATTGCCTCTGTGTTTCTCATTTAGCTCCAAACCTTCAAAGACTCCAAGAAAATCTGGATCAACAAGGTCTTGCTTCAGCACTTCTCAGAAATGGGCTTATTTTTATTTTTTATTTTTTTTTTATCATTTTAAGTTTTGGGAAGGGAAGTGCCCACACTAAAGTTATTTGATCATCAATATTGGATGTTAAATTCTGTCATCACTGCACAGTGCCCATTGCTCTGTCAAAGCCAGGGTCAGTCTGAAGGGCAAACAAGTTAATGTATGACACCTGCTTTTTTAACATAAATTAGGAAATATCCACCTTTGTTTTAGACTAATTGGAGTCTAAATTACATTTTACTTTTCCCTGGATACAGACCAGGATTTCTGCCTCATGGAGCCAGACGATCCAAAAATCCACTCTGAGCCTTCCACTGAAATCGTTCAAGATCAGATTATCCAGATTAGTTTCATAATGCATTCAAATCAATGCATGCATGAAGCTGCTGAAAAGCCAACATCTTATACACAGATATATATATACAATATATGTATATGTAGAGTTTTTTCATATCACTCTTTCTGTTGGAATGGCATCTAGTGCTAAGTGACAGTCCTGGAAATTTGCTACGCAATACAAGCACCTCATGCATCATGACGGGATGTCCACACAGGTAACGTCTCTGATGAAGACAACATCTGCAGCCCCATGGTAACAGACATCTGACCGTGAACACAAAAACATCCAAATATGCTGGAAAACTGAATGTCAAGGTGAATGACACCTGCTTTAATCAGGATGCCTTTTTTTCTCTTTGCAGGCTATGTGAAAGCAGCAGATCCAGTGTGCGGTGAAACGTCATTTTACCTTATCACCACCCCGCTAATGTCTGTATCACGTCCTCCACAACAAGGTGATTTGATAAACGGGAAATGTTGGCCCCCACTGACCTGAATCGTGCAGGTGTACTCCGAATCGTCCAGCAGCCTCACAGTGCAGTTGCATTCCCTGTCCAGACTCCTGATGCTGCTGCTCATCAGTCGGCTCAGCATCTTCTCGATCGTCTGCGTACGGGACCAGGGAGAAGGGCGCGCAGCACATACATACAAGTTTATCTTCTGTCACGTCAACGACGTCCCTGTTCTTTGGTCCAACACCTGGTCAGAGACAGCGACAGTGCGGAGCGGCGGCGGCGGTGGGGCATCGTTTCATCAGTGTGTGTGTCTGTGTGTGTGTGTGTGTGTGAGAGAGAGAGAGAGAGAGAGAGAGAGAGAGAGAGAGAGAGAGAGAGAGAGAGAGAGAGCGAGCTGAATGGCCGAGGTACCACACGGCACGTTTATCCAGTCAGCGAGGAGTGGAAATAGTGCTGCTACTGCTGCTGCTCTCTCTCTCTGGTCCGGTTCAACTGTCCACACCTCATTGCGCCTTCTCTCCCCTCGTCTCCTTGCTAGTTGCCATGCCGCTCTCGGTGCTGCTGGGCGGGCTGGTTGGTGAATGGCGAGACTGTCAGCCAACGGAGCAGTGACTGAGATGCTGCCTTCACAGAGTTAACGACAGGAGTCGAAATTCCGATAGGCTGGTAGACGTCGTGACTGTAGCCACATGGTCGAGAATAATAACAGAGTGCGGCCTCTGTAGTTTCACCAGTCGAACAACAGGCGCTTTATGCCGCTGATGAAGTTGACCAACTGATAATTGTCTCTCGACGTGAAACACCTATAGGCTGTTTAAACCCGGGAAAAAATAGAAACACGTACTCAAATAACTAGAAATGCATTCTCTAACCGATTAACACACAGGCCTCATATTTCAAGTCAACTATCATAATCAAATGCATCACCTTGACTTGAACGTCACATCTCAGAGGCCCGTCCTAAGTCAAATGGTCGCTTCTGCTGACTTGCGCTCTTTGTTTAATTGCGGCATTTCCGACAGAACTTGAAGGCAGCAACATACTTTAACATTCCTTCATTTCATCCTTCACAGGGTGATTGTACGAAGCAAGACAGGGGCATAAAATGTAGCCACATAAGGCAACGAGAAACATTTATATTACTGTTACGTCTTATAGCCTACGTGACATGTAACCAAGCCACTTTGATATAACTGATTCAAAGTTGTACTTTTTCTAAGTCTTCGAGAGAGCACGTAAATGTAATCAGAGCAAATCCTTTGCATAGGCAACTACCCAGTTACAAATGGAGACAATGTCTCTCACGAATACTTTAAACGTCCTAATTGAATGTGGCACAGAGGAAGATCACTGCACGAGTTTGGTTCAACCTGTGAACATTGTGGTGTCCTGGTTTCTTTGACGATGTCTCCCTCTGGGTGTGCTTCATGGTAATGACAATAAAGTGATTAAAAACTTCCGCGTAAAATAGAGTCACCATGCGAGTGTTTTTTTTTCTTCCGATCCCCGCAATGACGCCGAATTTTTACCTCTCGCTTCAAGCGGTACATTTTGTAACATGGTGTCGACCACCATAACATGAGTCTTTTGAGGTTAAAAGCTATTCCCTGGTTTCAACAGAAGATCGGTTATGGAGTAACTGCATAAACGAGGGCCGGTTTTGACATAATATCACTTAAAGCAATAAAGGACTACATGCAATAACTATCCGGTGGTATCAAAAACACAAGCTCATCTGCCGTGACATTGTTCCACAATGCCGTGACCCGGATTCGAACCGGGGTTGCTGCGGCCACAACGCAGAGTACTAACCACTATACGATCACGGCGAGCTACGATGAGCTGACAGTCTCGCTTTGGAACAACATGGTGTGTATCAAAGAATAGACTCAGCGGACTCGTTGGATGCTGATTTTTTTGGACTGTAGAGGGCATAGTCCTCTTAAAATGCTTGCTTGGCTTTGTTCCCAGTCCTGTGCCACGGATAGTGAGTCTGGAGATAGAGGGTCTGTAAAATACAGTTAATGTGACAATGTTTAGATCTTTAACCCCCGAGTATTGTTTGCACTACAGTGACATCTGGTGGATAAAGCGACTCACAACCCCGCGCGTGTTGTGTGTGTGTATACATATGTCTTCACCAGACCTCCTCTGGTTGGCTGATTGTGCTGCAGACGTAGCAGGGCTTCCCGTTTTGTAACACAATAAAACGTGTATGTTACCAAACACGGATTCTGCAGTAAATAGCAGCGGAGTTGTAACTGAGAGGTGCAATTAAGGTAAAGTTATGCTTTATAATTGTCATCATTTTGTTTTAACTTGCACATGTAACTTCCTGACTTTGTGACATGGTGTTACCACAGTGTTGGTTCGTTGTTTTGTGTCTGTGCTGATAGATAGATGCACTAAAGCAACTGTATCGTGCTGTGGGTCTAACAAACAGAGAAACGACATTGACTCAACGTCCGGATCCTCTAGATTCATGCAGTTCTGTAAAATACAACGTGCTGTCCGTGGTGTGTTTACAGGGTCACCGACATGGTTCATACATGTATTCACTGGTTTCGCAAGGGACTCAGGCTGCATGACAACCCAGCACTGATAGCCGCTCTGAGGGACTGTAAGGAGCTCTACCCTGTGTTCATCCTGGACCCTTACCTACATAGCAATACCCATGTGGGCATCAACCGCTGGAGGTTCCTCATTGGAGCCTTGAAAGACCTGGACTGCAGCCTTAGGAAGCTCAACTCCAGGTAGAAACACCGGGAGAAGTTTTAAAAAATATTGAATACTAAAAAAAAAGTTAGAAACTGCTCAAACACTTGTAAGTTCTTGAATGACTATACTTGACTAGACTATCAGATTCATATTGTGATATTGTCACATTGTGGTGTGTTCGATTCCTTCAGGCTCTTCGTTGTGAGAGGCAAACCGGAGGATGTTTTCCCTAAGCTGTTCAATAAGTGGAAAGTAACAAAGCTGACCTATGAGTACGACACAGAGCCCTACAGTCTGAGCCGGGACAAAAAAGTGATGGAACTGGCCAAAGAACACGAAGTTGAAGTTATCTACAAAATCTCACACACTCTTTACGATATAGACAGGTACTACTCATTCTGAAGATGTACACATACGCAATCTTTCAGGGTTTTTAAAGGCTGTTTCATTCAGAAGGTGAATGTGTTGTCTACCTTCTCCCTGTAGGATAATTGAGGAAAACAATGGGAAGGCTCCCCTTACTTACAACCGTATGCAGGCAATAGTGAAAACTCTTGGACCCCCTAAGAAACCAATCCCTGCTCCAACCATGGAAGACGTAAAAGGTGGTCAACTACCAGAAACACTTTATAATCCCAATGAATCATCTTTGTAGAAATAATCATTAAAACCAATTATTTTAAACCAACTTTATCAAAATGTGACATACTAGTGTAAAACTTAAACACCAATTCATTGAAACATATCTCCTGTGGCACAGATGTGAAGACCCCTTGTTCAGAAAACCATGAGAAGAAGTATGGGATCCCTGCACTGGAGGAGCTCAGCCAGGACACTGAAGCTCTTGCAGAGGAGCCGTTCCCAGGGGGAGAACAGGAGGCTCTGAGGAGACTAGATGAACACATGAAACGAACGGTATTTCACTTTCTCGTCTTGCTCTGTATGGCTTGACATGATTATTTCAGACATCTAAGAAAACGGAGAATCTTACTAACAACATCGAAATCAGCATTTAGTTGTGCCCTGCTTTTTAACACACATGCAACTGTGTAATTCATGTTTCTTCTGTTTCCCCCGTTTCAGGGATGGGTGTGTAACTTTGAGAAGCCCCAGACATCTCCAAACTCTTTAAGCCCCAGCACCACTGTTCTCAGTCCATATGTCACCTTTGGGTGCCTGTCTGCACGCACCTTCTGGTGGAAGCTGACAGAGGTCTATCAGGGGGTGAGTGTCGCCATCACTGTACAGCTTTGTAGGTAATATGTTACACTGTAAATAAGGCTGCGCAGCTGATAATGGTATTGTAATTTAAATTAATACATTTCATAAGTAAATAAAATAAGCAAGATGCTGATTTAAGTATCTTGCATAAACATAAAAAATTAGTTAAAGTTTAACTTAGTTTGACTTTTTCACGTGTGGTTTGTGCAGAAGAAGCACTCAGATCCTCCAGTTTCCCTGCATGGCCAGTTACTGTGGAGAGAGTTCTTCTACACGGCTAGTGTGGGCATCCCAAACTTTAACAAGATGGAGGGCAACCCTGTGTGTACTCAAGTGGACTGGGATGCGAACACCGAATATCTGGCTGCATGGAGAGAGGTATAGACGTTTGAGCCCATAAATGAAAAGAAAAGGGAAATTGTGCTGTTAGTAAAAGAGTTTTCAAAATCATACAGTCACATCATCACCGTTAAGTTGAGGGTTGTGTAATTTCTTGTACTATAAATAATTCCTGTCATCCTGTACTGTATTTCCCTCAAGGCTCGGACTGGTTTCCCCTTCATTGATGCCATCATGACTCAGCTGAGACAGGAGGGCTGGATCCACCACCTAGCCAGACATGCTGTCGCCTGTTTCCTCACCAGGGGAGACCTATGGGTCAGCTGGGAGGAAGGGCAGAAGGTGTGTAAATGAGACTGGCTTTATAGATACTCTAGATGAAGTTATAAGTGTGATGTTGTCTTCACACGAGAGCAAGCACACATGCAGGCACACGTTGCATGTGTACATATTTCAGACCATGGTTTATGAGCTATAGCTGGGTAATCTGGTTAGAAATAATATTGTGAATGCAATCTTATCCAAATGAAACAAAACAATATATAACTATATAACTTTATATAACTACATGGCAGTCAGATAGTGCAGACGTCTGCTAAAGCCAATGTTAAACAACATACACCAGGCTCCAGAGAAAAAACTTCAGATTCATAGTAAATCTACATCTGCACCAACATTTGATGTGGTCTTCCCGGGCTCATGTCCCAACCCTCCACCAAGTTCAGTGTCAATAGGCTCAGTGCTTTTGCCATAATCCTGATGACAAATAAACAAGACAACTATTTTCTGGCCTTGATAATTTAGCTTTCTAAAATAATGTCTATTGAGAGCAACTGAAAGTGAACATCATCAATAGGATTT